GCTTTTGCACACAAACATCTAGGAGCCTTTACACACAGAAGCTGTTACACAAAGAAGTCTCTACACAGATATATAGCTTTCACACACAGACGCGTTTACACACAGAAGTTTTTACACAGAGAAGCCTTTACACTTTACACAGAAAGTTTTTACACACGGAAGCTTTTACACACAGTGAAATCTTTACACAGACGTTTCACACAGAGAAGCTTTCACACACAGAAGCTTTTACACAAAGAAGTCTTTACACAAAGTGGTTTTTTACACACAGAAACTTTTACACACAAAAGCTTTTACACAGAGAAGTCTTTGCACAGAGGCGCCTTTACACGAAGTAACAAGTTGAAATTGGCAGCAGTTCTTCGGGAAAAACCCTTGGCAGGAGCTTTCGGGAACTCACTTGCTCCCCAAAAAAGCCGTCTATTTCCAACAAAGTTCCTATTCGATGAACTTTTTTCAAAAAACATACGGACTATATTTCTGAAGCAGGTCCACATCCAAAAGCTTTCAAGCCCACACTGCGATGAAATGGAGGGTCGAGAAATCCGGCGGAGCCGACGAGGGGCGTCAGCCCTTAAAATATCACCAACTATTAGGGCCGAACCGTCTCCTGAAACACGGCAGAAAATCCTCCAATCAGCCATGGAGGTTGAGTTCGCTGGGAAAATCATCAAATGTTGGATGTTCCAGAAAGCCCTCACCCAACAGCTTGTGACCCTGCCATGAGTGGCTTTGGAAGATGACTTGGCCTGACATTTCAGGGTCAAAGCTAGTAATTTACAGGAGCTTACTTGGCCTGGGTTGCTGCTACCCATAGAACCCGGGAACCTCCAAGAAAGATGGACAAAATCTGTGGATACAGTAGATGAACATAGATGGATAATCCATGATAGATGATCATGATAGATGGAAATCCATGATAGAATCCACAGATAGATTTGATCAGATGATTTCCTGGTTTCTTCCGTGGCTTTTGGCATCTTTTGGCCAGTGTGAAAACCACACCTCCACCTCAGAGTCCGCTGCGTCCGCTGCCCCCTCCGTCTCGTAGCCACGTAGTAACAACTGCGCGCGTTTGGCCCGGCTTCCCATTGGTGAAAAATCCAGATCAATCTGCTGGCTTTTGGGAAGGCTGCAGTGCACTAATATGCACTAATTAGCTGACTAATCGTTTTACTGATCCAATAGCAAATCATTTCACAACTACTGAGGTTGGCTCATCCCACTAAGTAGGTTATATGCCTGGTTTTGTTAGTGAGATAAGTAGGGTTGATCCACTTATAACTTATAACCAGGTTTTTTATACTCGATGGGATGATTCACCGGGCGCGGCACCACCATGCATGCAACCATCACAGCTATGACGTTGTTGTCCGCATAATTCACGGCCAACTGCAGCCTCCCGGGGTTTGTCTGAAAGGGAGATCCTAAAATGACTATGCTTTATGAATCTTATATTGTGTTGATGTCTGAAAATGGGAATCCTGAATGTGTCAATTTTCACAGGTAGCTGTTTTGCTTGCGGTATAAGTTTGCCCTTGTGTTTTATTATTGCGGAAGTTCCAAAACAGAAAAAAACACATGGAACCCAGTTCTTCCAAATTGATGCTGCTGGCCTTTTTTCCCCACTGTGCGCCGTGCACTGTTTTTGGTGCATGCGTGTCCTGTGCTAACATCCTGGCTGGGAAAAGATAGGATTATGGATTTTTTTTTTTCAAATAAGAAAATGTTAAAATTCAAAAAAGGCTGGGAGAAGATAGGGTTATGGATTCCCTTATTTGATTATTTCAAATGAGAAATTTGTTGTTTTTTTTAAACTAGGTTTTTTTAAATGAATCTCTTAAACGATTTTTTTCTCAAATAAGCAAATTTGAAACTTCAAAAAAGGCTAGGAGAAGATAGGATTATGGATTCCCTTATTATGCCCTTATTTGATGTTTTTTCAAGTAAGAACTTTGAAAAAAACTAGGATTTTATATGAATCTATTAAACATTTTTTCTCAAATAAGCAAATTTGAAAATTCAAAAAAGGCTAGGAGAAGATAGGATTATGGATTCCCTTAAACGTTTTTTTTCAAATAAGAACATTTTAAAATTCAAAAAAGGCTGGGAGAAGATAGGATTATGGATTCCCTTATTTGTTTTTTTTCAAATAAAAAAAATGTGTTTTTTTTAAAGACTATGGTTTTATATGAATCTCTTAAACGATTTTTTTCTCAAATAAGCAAATTTGAAAATTCAAAAAGGGCTAGGAGAAGATAGGATTGTAGATTCCCCTAAACGATTTTTTTTCAAATAAAAAAAATAAAATTCAAAAAAGGCTGGGGGAAGATAGGATTATGGATTCCCTTAAACGATTTTTTTTACCTAAGAAAATTTTAAAATTCAAAAAAGGCTGGGAGAAGATAGGAGGGTTCCCTTATTTGATTTTTTTTTTCAAATAAGAAAATTTGAAAATTCAAAAAAGGCTGGGAGAAGACAAGATAGGATTATGTTTCCTCAAACGTATTTTTTTCAAATAAGAAAATTTAAGAATTCAAAAAAGGCTGGGAGAAGATTGCCTTATTTTTTTATCAAACACATATCAAATCAAAATAAGAAAAATGATTCAAAAAAAACTGTAGGTAGAATAGAGTCAGAGAGATTGGTATTGTTTTTGTTTAAATATTTAAACTAAATTAAATAGTAAAAAAAATGAAAAATTCAAAAAACAATGTAACCCAAACATGAAAACAATAAAACAAAAAAAAAACAATAGAAACCAGTTTGGAAGCAAATTTGATGAAAGAACCAATGTCAGCCTTGATTTTTTTGACGTTGATTGAAGTTGATTATTGGTTTTTTTTGACCAGAACTTAAAACACAAGCAAAAAGCTTAAACGATTTTTTTTATTTTCAAATAAGCTTATTTGATTTTTTTTGTGGCTTGTATCCCCTGGATTTTGTTTTTTTTGTGTTTTTGATTAAAAAAACAAATTTTGCGGGACAGAAATTGATTATAATTGGTTTGTGTCCCCCACAATTTGTTTTCTTCTGATCAGAAACACAAAAAAAAACAAAATCCAGGGGACACAAGCCACAAAAAAAATCAAATAAGCTTATTTGAAAATTAAAAAAACCGTTTAAGCTTTTTGCTTGTGTTTTAAGTTCTGGTCAAAAAAATCACAATCAATTTCAATCAACTTCAAAAAAACAAGGCTGACATTGGTTCTTTCATCAAATTTGCTTCCAAACTGGTTTCTATTGTTTTTTTGTTGTTTTATTGTTTTCATGTTTGGGTTACATTGTTTTTTGAATTTTTCATTTTTTTACTATTTAATTTAGTTTAAATATTTAAACAAAAACAATACCAATCTCTCTGACTCTATTCTACCTACAGTTTTTTTTGAATCATTTTTCTTATTTTGATTTGATTTTGTTTGATAAAAAATAAGGCAATCTTCTCCCAGCCTTTTTTGAATTCTTAAATTTTCTTATTTGAAAAAAAATCGCTTAAGGGAATCTACAATCCTATCTTCTAGCCTTTTTTGAATTTTCAAATTTGCTTATTTGAGAAAAAAAATCGTTTAAGAGATTCATATAAAACCATAGTCTTTAAAAAAAAAAACATTTTTTATTTGAAAAAAAAGTTTAAGGGAATCCATAATCCTATCTTCTCCTAGCCTTTTTTGAATTTTAAAATTTTCTTAGGTAAAAAAAAATGTTTAAGGGAATCCATAATCCTATCTTCCCCCAGCATTTTTTGAATTTTAAAATTTTCTTATTTGAAAAAAAACGTTTAAGGGAATCTACAATCCTATCTTCTCCTAGCCTTTTTAGAATTTTTAAATTTGCTTATTTGAGAACAAAAATCGTTTAAGAGATTCATATAAAATCCTAGTGTTTTCAAAGTTCTTATTTGAAAAAAACATCAAATAAGGGCATAATAAGGGAATCCATAACCCTATCTTCTCCTAGCCTTTTTTGAAGTTTCAAATTTGCTTATTTGAGAAAAAAATCGTTTAAGATATTCCTAAAAAAAAACCTAGTCTTTTTTTAATTTTCAATTTCTTATTTGAAAAAAAATCAAATAAGGGAATCCATAACCTTATCTTCTCCCAGCCGTTTTTGAATTTTAAAATTTTCTTATTTGAAAAAAATCGTTTAAGGGAATCCATAATGCTATCTTTTCCCAGCCTTTTTTGAATTTTAAAATTTTCCCAGCCTTCTATGACAATGACAATGATTTGACTTTTGAATCTTGGATGGGTTGGTTTGAGCTAAGTATGTAGTAAGTATATATGTAGTAAAAAATTGAATTACCTGGTTACAAGTTATAGTTATATGTAACATGTATGATAACTAAGGTGACTCAAACTTGCATTGCCTTGTGGTTTATCTGTTTTGTTCCACCTGTGAGCCATGAATCCATGAGAATGGCATGGTTTCTCTTTGGTCCAAAATGCAGAGTTTGGTGCCTATTTGGGGGAGCCCAATCCATAAAACACAAGCCACCAGTTAAAACGCAAGACCTGTGCAAATTCTCACCTGAATGCTTATGTTTTTTTAACGAGGAAAATGATATTATATTAAACAATCGGATTTCGGTGCCTATTTTCACACCGACCTCCATGCTGTGGTGATGGGAAAATCCTTGCGGGTGGACTTCAAAATCGCCCCTAAACCATATGGGTGACAAAAATAGTTGGTAAATAATGGATGTTCAGCTCAAACTAAATAGCATAATTTGCTGTTTGATCTTTCACCAATGCCCATTGCCCATATGGCCCATATGAGACCCTCTATCTACAAGTGCCATATATAGATTCAATCCGGGATGTTCAAGCATATGTCAAGCTTAGTGTTTTTTTCCAATCAAATGTCCATATGTTATCTACTCATATCTACTCCCGGATTATTATATAGAAGTGTTCCTGAAATGCAGGATCCGAAAAAAAATGAACATTGGATTTAATACCAATACCAAGCACGGACGCGTGCATCGCAAAAGAGCCTATTTTCCAGGCAGTTTAACATTGAATTAAGGCACTCGGCTTCTGCTAGATGCCTAAACGTGAAACGTCTCTTCGTACGCTTCATGTGAATTGCGGCACTAGGCTTCTGCTAGACTCTTAAATCTTAAAATGAAACGTCTCTTCGTTCGCTTCATTGACTGTGAATTGAGGCACTAGGCTTTTGCTAGACTCTTAAATCTTAAAATGAAACGTCTCTTCGTTCGCTTCATTGACTGTGAATTGAGGCACTAGGCTTTTGCTAGACTCTTAAAGGTGAAACGTCTCTTCGCACGCTTCATTCGCCAACTTCGAATTAAGGCACTAGGCTGCTGCTAGACTCTTAAACGTAAAACGTCTCTTCGGACGCTTCATTCACCAATTGGTGAAATTTATCTCTGACAACTCCACTAATCCACTGAACCATGGCACTTTTCACATGTGAATTAACTCTATCGAAACCAACACTTCTTTGGATCGTTTCCTTCACCTTTTTCTCATCCCGTGGGTCAAAGGCTTCTGCATGGGCCACGTTCACCTCGCAGAGGGATCCTGTGACTTCGGCAATGCCGGCGTCTCTCAGGGACAGTTTCTGGGACAACGACACGGACGCGTCGTACGGCATCACGAAGGTCACATCGATGTGCAGAGCACAGGCTACGTACTGTTCATAGATCGTCCACCTGAGTGATGCTCCAACTACTACCCTCCCCAAAAATCCGAAAATTGCGGAGCATCAATCATCCCCAAGGACGGAAAAAATGGATGAAGCCACTAGCCAGGTGTATTGGCTACACATGGTTACATGTTAGTCCCAATTGAAGGGTGGTTCAATCCCAACTTAATTAGCTGTTTGTTCAACACCCTTATTTCAACCATATTAATTAAGCATAATTAAGCCATATTAAGCCATGTCAAACCTTTCTATTTAAGAACCAACATCCTCCTACTTTTACAGTAGCGAAAAATCCGACGGAAAAATCCAGCCAAGTCACACGCGTCGCAAATACATCGGCTGGTGCCAGGTATCCAACACGGCCACCACGTGTCCCGTGCGCCGAAGATTCGCTTCGAAGACTTCCTCGAGGTTGTCACTTCCCGCAGGAGTTCCGTCCACGATCAAGCGGAATTGATTGTTCACGAAAAAACCTGAGACAATGGAAAGAAAAGTTCCCCTGGTTTACAGGAGGACAGGAGGTTCCTCTAGTTTTGATGACAGATTCATACAGATTCCACATTTTTTGAAGCGGAAATCATGGAAAGTCCTCATTCTCACTGACAATTTCGACATGTTCAACTTGAAAAACACTTGTTTTGTATGGGAAATCAGCATGTTTTATGGGACGGTACATTTTGTTGGTGGGAAAAAAAGGGATGGAATGGGAAATGCACCATGTGCAACAGAAGGTCAAGATGTTTGATGGGAAACTCTCGGTTGCTAGTGGGAACATCCAATCTTTTCATGAGAATTGAGAATTGCACAATTTTTGATGGGATCGGAAAATACAAAATCTTCAGTACTTCAGAAAACCAATCTCAATCCGTATACTAATACTGGATATTACAGCCCGGTTGGATTACCAGAGGGTTTGAACAAAGAAACGGCTACGGGGTGATCCCAAGCCACCTAGGAAACAAGATGATCACTGGGGTAATCGTGGGCCCTTTCAGAAAGCAGCATGCTGAGTGGTGCCAAGAGACACATGTAGAAGAAAATCTCGCCAGCTGGTCTCTGAACTCTCCACATCTGCAGGGCGCTTCGCCTGAGTCCCGCCACGTTTGACACGTATCAAGGGATGAAGCGGATTCCGAAGCAACCTGAAATCCCCCTGCTTTATATTGGAAAATCCAGCATTTCTACGAGAAAACCCTTTGTGTGGATTCATTTTGATGTGGGGTTCTCCATTGCCAGGTCAACGATGATGCTGGCCCTACAGCAAAGGTTGAGATGGCAACCATCTCTAATGTTTGCAACCCCAACATCAAAAGTGGCAACTTGGTGCCATGAACCGCAAGCCCTTCAGATTAGTTCAGCCAGATTGCAACTCATGAAACACATGTTACAATTACCGGTAGTACCGCGCAAGGCGGTGGCGGAAGTTTCAAAAATAGGAAACCTATAGGAGAGGTTGGTTGTTGTGAATCAGGGATGGCAGAGCGAAGCCACTGATGGAGCGAAAGGTGATTGATCTCTCTCACTATTTCTCTCTCTTTCTCTGACTATCTACCTACCTACCTACCTACCTACCTATCTATCTATCTATCTCTTTATTTAGCTGTCTCTCTATCTATTTGTCTGTCCGTCTATCTGTCCATCTATCTATCTATCTACCTATCTATCTATCTATCTCTCTCTCTCCTTCATCTGTCTAGCTGTCTACCTGTCGATCTGTCTATCTATCTATCTGTCTACCTGTCTATCTGTGGTGCAGTGTCATTCAGTGTAATGTATATAGTGTAGTGTGATGTAGTGTGGTGTAGTGGAGTGTAGTGGAATGTAGTGTAGTGTAATGTAGCGTAGTGTAACTTAATGTAGTGTAATTTAGTGTAGTGGAGTGTAGTGGAGTGTAGTTGTGTAGTTGTAGCTGTAGTGTAGTGGAGTGTAGTGTAGTGTAGTGAAGTGTAGTGGAAGGTAGTAGTGTAGTGTAGTGTAATGTAGTGTAGTGTAGTGGAGTGTAGTGTAGTGCAATGTAGTGAAGTGTAGTGTAATTTAGTGTAGTGTAGTGGAGTGTAGTGTAATGTAGCGTAGTGTAGTGTAATTTAGTGTAGTGGAGTGTAGTGGAGTGTAGGGGAGTGTAGTTGTGTAGTTGTAGTTGTAGTTGTAGTGTAGTGGCGTGTAGTGTAGTGTAATGTAGTGAAGTGTAGTGGAAAGTAGTGTAGTGTAGTGTAATGTAGTGTAGTGGAGTGTAGTGTAATGTAGTGTAGTGTAGTGTAATTTAGTGTAGTGGAGTGTAGTGGAGTGTAGTTGTGTAGTTGTGTAGTTGTGTAGTTGTAGTTGTAGTTGTAGTGTAGTGGAGTGTAGTGGAGTGTAGTGAAGTGTAGTGGAAGGTAGTGTAGTGTAGTGTTTATTTTAAGTTTACTGTATTGTCATCTTGTTTAGTGGTATTTATTTTATTGTAATGTATTTTCTGTAGTTTAATTTTAGTGTTGGATTGTATTTCGAATTGTCTTGAAAGTGTAGTGGAGTGTAGTTTGTTAGTTTGTAGTGTGTGGAGTGTACTGGAGCGTAGTGTAGTGTAATGTAGTGTACTGGAGTGTAGTGTAGTGTAATGTCCTGTAGTGTAGTGTATTGAAGCGAAGCGACATCTGAACCTCCGAAAGTGGTCCGAACCCCTAGTGTTTTGTACATTTTGACTTCGAAATGTGCTTCGCGCCACAACGGCGTGCACTTTTTCGACATCTAACTTCCAAAAGTGGTCGCGAACTGTGTGTTTTGTACATTTTGACTTGGAAATGTGCTTCGCGCCACAACGGCGTGCACTTTTTCGACATCGCAACTTCCAAAAGTGGTCCGAACCTGGTGTGTTTTGTACATTTTGACTTTGAAATGTGCTTCGCGCCACAACGGCGTGCACTTTTTCGACATCTCAACTTCCAAAAGTGGTCCGACAATGGTGTGTTTTGTACATTTTGACTTGGAAATGTGCTTCGCGCCACAACGGCGTGCACTTTTTCGACATCTCAACTCCAAAAGTGGTCCGAAGCTGGTGTGTTTTGTGCATTTTGACTTGAAACTTGTGCTTCGTGCTTCGCGCCACAACGCGTGCCAATTTTTCATCTCTCCTCTGGCCAGCTGGCTCCGCACCCGCCGCTTTAGCGAGCCTACTTTTCGACCCTCCGGAGCACAAGTCATTGGAAAAACACAGTGTTTCGCGACTTTCCTACCTTTTCGCGCATCTGCATCTTCTGTCTTCTTACTCTTTCTCTTCTCCTCTTCTTTCTTCTAATCTTTCTCTTCTCTCTGCCTCTTCCCTGCTCTGCTTTTCATCTCTCCATATTGTCGGAAGTTTGACTTCTAAACTTCCTTCGATATAATTCATAAATGTCAATAATATTTGCAATATGTACGATGAAAAGAAACAGAGACAAACACAAACATATCATGATCAACAGCGGCTTTCAGTTTGGCAGTAGCCGAGCCACAACTGGCCCAGTGAATACTGCCAACTCCAAGACATGAAGTGGTTCTGCTTCTGTCGATGCTGGAAAGGAAGCATGTCCACCAGGGCGCAACCTGGTTTCCCATCCCTTGGGCAGTGGCGGTCTTGGCCAAGTTTGTTGTCGCTTAACCAGAAGACTTCCTTCAATCGGAGGAAAGTGGGATCAACTTCCCCCGATTTCTCCTGGGCCAACTGCACGAAATCTCGGAGCAAATAGGCCATGCTGACACCTGCGTGGTGACTGTGACGCGCCCGGATCTCCTTCACCTGCCGGTCCACGGCATCTGGTGTCCATCCGAAGCTGCTAAGCTGCTGAAGAAAGTCTTGCAGCACCGTCTCCTCCTGTTGCAGTGCGGACCCGTGATGGACCCGTGGACAAACCTGACACCCGAGATTTCACATAGATCTTCATTGATTTTCCATCTCTGGATGAATATCAAGTTGGGAGGAATGTCTCCTACCGACCAAAAAGGGATTAACAATCGGTTACTGCATAGACATAGACTATGATGGGTTACACTTGGGAGGCCTCAAAGATTATGAAAGATCTACTGCACCCTGAATATCCCTGAAGAAGTTGTTCCTCTGTATCTACGGGTTCCGAAAGTTGAGTTGACCCATGTTGACCCCCAAGGTCGACCCGCGCATTCTCCTGTTCATCCCAGAGTGCGTCGTCCATCTCTTGCAGCAGCATCTCCACTTGATCAGAGCGCTTCTGGCTCTCGCGGAGCCACTGTTTCTTCACTCGGTGACACGCGAAGAACAGGGAAAGGCCAAGGACCACAAGCCCCACTGCGATCGAAGGCAGATGAAACCACTTGCCTCGGCTCTTGGATCGACCGCAAAGCACGGAATGGCCGATGTTAGTGGCCAGACCAAACAATATCGTAAAGATGATTCGAGATCGGTAAAGCAAAAAGATGTTGATGTAAAAAACGTAAAGAAACATGATTTTTAAATGGTTCAAGCTGAAGATTGTTGAAAGTCAGCCTGGCAAGATACAGGTGTTGTCTTCCAAGAAAAATGGAAAAGAACAGGTTGCGCACTGGCCCAGGTCAGAATACGTTCCCGGAGGACATGTCTGACACCCGCTGCGGTTGGCATTCGGCACACGTCCTGGGCCACAGGCCTGACATGTCTTGGATCCAGCCGGGGCATAGCGACCTGCAGGGCACGTCCGACAGCTTTCGTTTCGAGCTTCGGTGCCTTCGGGACATGACACGCACCGCAAATCTCCACGGGATCTGTGGCCGGGCTCAGGAACTTTCGGGTCCAGGCAGCTGCAGCAAGCTGCTTCACTCACAGAAACTGGGCTCGACCCCAGTGGTTTCGGTGTGGCACCAGGACCACATGAAAAGGTCGTGCAAGACGGTTTCAAGAAGGCGAGACTATCACCTATGTTATGATCCTGGGATTTCTGCGGCCTGGTTCTCTGCAAGAAGCATCGTCCCGAATCCTGGAGGATGAAGGCGGAACAATCTTCGGATTCCTGGCATTTTTCAACACATTGGCGGAAACCGGCAGCTGTTGCAAGGGCCTCTGCCGGCATCCAGTTGCCTCGCCCCAGGTCGATGAAGCCGGAGTTGAGCGGAGAGCATCTTCCATCTACACACGCCAAGCTTGGGTCACGGCAAGGGCACAAGGGGCACGAGGGGCACGGCTCGAAGCTAAATTCAAAAGCCTGAAAGCTTAAAGCAGGCCACCCCTGAGCTTGGGAGGTACGACTATGAACACAGCGCAGCACAGCAGAACCATCGAAAGGACCTGTCGAGTTTTGCACTGCTGAAAAGTTCCATGTCGACAAAGGTTTGTTGAAATTCTGTGCACCAGCGAAAACATACGATATGTCGGTAAGCGCAGACGTGTCCCACAAACCAAGGTCCTGATCAAAAGAGGTGGCCCCGGAAAACATGTAACTCATAGTCTCAACACCAGATACATTCCACAAGCCGATGGGTTTGTTGAAAGATTGCGCTCCATGGAACATGTAGCTCATGTCCCTCACTGCCGCTACGTCCCACGATCCAATGGCTTGATTGAAGTGTGCAGCGTTGTAAAACATGTACCTCATATCTGTGACACCGGAAACGTTCCAAGATCCGATAGGCCTGTTGAAAGATTCCGCTCCATAGAACATGTAGCTCATGTCCCTCACTGCCGCTACGTCCCACGATCCAATGGCTTGATTGAAGTGTGCAGCGTTGTAAAACATGGCTTTCATGTCTGTGACACTGGAAACGTTCCAAGATCCGATAGGCCTGTTGAAAGATTGCGCTCCATAGAACATCCCACGCATCTTCCTCACTGCCGCTACGTCCCACGATCCAATGGCTTGATTGAAGTGTGCAGCGTTGTAAAACATGTACCTCATATCTGTAACACCGGAAACGTTCCAAGATCCGATAGGCCTGTTGAAAGATTCCGCTCCATAGAACATGTAGCTCATGTCCCTCACTGCCGCTACGTCCCACGATCCAATGGCTTGATTGAAGTGTGCAGCGTTGTCAAACATGTCCCTCATATCTGTAACACCGGAAACGTTCCAAGATCCGATAGGCCTGTTGAAAGATTCCGCTCCATAGAACATGTAGCTCATGTCCCTGTTGTAGTTTTGAAAGTGCACCCAACCTGGCGAGCCAAGAAGGCATTGGATTAAGGGGCACCCCACGCAAAGCGTGGAAAAAGCCGGCTGGCTGTGTTTCTTGTGATGAAGACCGGTAAGGTCACGGGCGGGTGCCCGTCGTGTGTTGCGGCTGCAGCCGCAGTGTCAATGCTGTGTTTAGCAGCTGCTGCTGCTACGAGAGTGCTGGTCCCAGTGAACTGGGTGTGATGGGGCAGAGCCCACATCGGTACGTTGTATTTTGCAAAGTGATGTATGGCTTGCGCCAATTGGAGCTGGTCTGTGTCAGTGTTCCGGTGTGGTAGCCGGCGGTTTGCCAGTCTGGTGGCTGGCTGTGCCCAGTCCAGGGTCCCGGCACCACAGAATGGTGGCCACGGTGTTAGCGTGACACTGGGCGGTGCATTACCGTAGCCACCTTCCGTTTTACCGGCGCTGCCCCGGTCATCTCTGACGCTCACCACTGCGTGTTAGGCAGTGGAGCGGGGTAAGTGGCCTGTTGTGGGGGGGAATTTGTAACCAGGTCAATTCCCGCACGGTCACCCGCGCCCCCCCCCCCGAGGGCATGTAGCTCATGTCCCTCACTGCCGCTACGTCCCACGATCCAATGGCTTGATTGAAGTGTGCAGCGTTGTAAAACATGGTGTTCATATCTGTGACACCGGAAACGTTCCAAGATCCGATAGGCCTGTTGAAAGATTCCGCTCCATAGAACATGTAGCTCATGTCCCTCACTGCCGCTACGTCCCACGATCCAATGGCTTGATTGAAGTGTGCAGCGTTGTAAAACATGGCTTTCATGTCTGTGACACTGGAAACGTTCCAAGATCCGATAGGCCTGTTGAAAGATTCCGCTCCATAGAACATGTAGCTCATGTCCCGTTGTAGTTTTGAAAGTGCACCCAACCTGGCGAGCCAAGAAGGCATTGGATTAAGGGGCACCCCACGCAAAGCGTGGAAAAAGCCGGCTGGCTGTGTTTCTTGTGATGAAGACCGGTAAGGTCACGGGCGGGTGCCCGTCGTGTGTTGCGGCTGCAGCCGCAGTGTCAATGCTGTGTTTAGCAGCTGCTGCTGCTACGAGAGTGCTGGTCCCAGTGAACTGGGTGTGATGGGGCAGAGCCCACATCGGTACGTTGTATTTTGCAAAGTGATGTATGGCTTGCGCCAATTGGAGCTGGTCTGTGCCAGTGTTCCGGTGTGGTAGCCGGCGGTTTGCCAGTCTGGTGGCTGGCTGTGCCCAGTCCAGGGTCCCGGCACCACAGAATGGTGGCCACGGTGTTAGCGTGACACTGGGCGGTGCATTAACGTAGCCACCTTCCGTTTTACCAGCGCTGCCCCGGTCATCTCTGACGCTCACCACTGCGTGTTAGGCAGTGGAGCGGGGTAAGTGGCCTGTTGTGGGGGGAATTTGTAACCAGGTCAATTCCCGCGCGGTCACCCGCGCCCCCCCCCCGAGGGTGTAGCTCATGTCCCTCACTGCCGCTACGTCCCACGATCCAATGGCTTGATTGAAGTGTGCAGCGTTGTAAAACATGTACCTCATATCTGTAACACTGGAAACGTTCCAAGATCCGATAGGCCTGTTGAAAGATTCCGCTCCATAGAACATGTAGCTCATGTCCCTCACTGCCGCTACGTCCCACGATCCAATGGCTTGATTGAAGTGTGCAGCGTTGTAAAACATGGCTTTCATGTCTGTGACACTGGAAACATTCCAAGATTCGATAGGCCTGTTAAACGATTTCGCTCCAGCGAACATGAAGCTCATGTCTGTTACTCCAGAAGTGTCCCAAGCGCCAATGTCTTCATCGAAATCCTCCAGAGCTTGGAACAAACGACTCAGATTTCGGATGGTCGAAATGTTCCATGCGTTCAACTGGCCGTACTGTGAGATCAACTGAAGCTTGGAATCCGTGTCGTTCCATCGAAGCAAGGCGTTTCTCAAGTGTTTCCAGCTGGAGAAGGAGTCAAAACTGCCTGGATCGCTCAGTGCTGGGAATAACCACAAACAGAACAGCCAAAGGACGAGCATGGTGAAAAGAGTCAAAAAAGGCCGAGTGGAAAAGTGGAGAACCAAAATGTCTGCAAGGATAGCTGATGTTTATTTACTCTTATATATATAGTCATCCCAAATAGATGGAAAAGTAAATCAATATCAAATTAGTAGGGATTTACTTTCCCATCTATTTGGGGATGACTATATACTATTATATAGCTATATATAATAATTAATATTATATACTACACATATCATATGTTTCTATAACTGGCATAAATTCAATTTCATCTCGTTTCCAAGCCGTGAGTTTCCACTGCGCAGGCCTTAGCTGGGCGTTGTTATGCACCGCAGCCAGAGCCTTCAGTGAGTGGTTGTGGTGACACTTAAAGATGTGAGTGAGAAATGTTTATTTAAAAAAATGAAATTGCCATTGTTTTTCTCATTTTGTGGATATTTATGAATGTTTATGATGTTTATGTGAGAAAACATGATAAATGGCCACTTCAAAATTTGTGGACAGTTGCGCTTCCCGGTATTTAAGAACTGTTTTGGCCTGAAACGTCGGCATGCTTCTTCCAACTGGACATATGTGTACACCCCAAGAAGTTTGCTGAAGGAACATCCCACCCCATCAATTGGCTCATCATCATTAAACCTCTCATATTTTTCATATATTAATTACCCTCTGGTAAAAGTTTTCATAACTATGGAAAATCACCATTTTTCAGTTCGGTAAATTAACGAACTTTCTATGGCCATTTTCAATAGCAAACTGTTTGTTTACCAGAGGGTATATCATGATTACCCATTATTAACCATTATCAACCATGATTAACCCATTATTAACCAATAATTAACCATGATCTAACCCATTTCAATAGCTAATTATCAACCATTATTAACCCATTATTAACCCATCAAAAATGGTGATTTTTCTACCAGTTTCCTAATCATCATGGCCTCAAAAACTGGAGGCCCCCAACGATACGGACCAACACCTCCGACTCTTGAAACTCCTGCTGTGCGACAACTCTTAAGGACCGGTGAATGGATATGAATGTTACTGATCATTAATGAGCATGTATCATCAATTTTCGTGAAACTTATGAATTCTAATCAATTATCCATGACAAAGATTATAAATATCATTGATTCACATTGATTCTATAAGAGTTCTGGTTGATTATATTATTGATTATCAATAATTATCATATTGATTCATATCATTGATATTATCAATGGATTGGTTTAAGGGAAAATTGAAACCGGAACCCCCCCATGTTTCATGAGAAAATCCATGGTTTCCGGTTACGATTTTCCCTTAAACCAATCCATTGATCCATAAATATCCATTAAAAGGCCATTAAAACACTTGAATGATATTATACCCACAAAAGAGTTCTCCTATCGCTCCAGAGCTGCTTCTTAAAGGTCGCCGCTCGCGTCGCGGAAGGCGCGGAGGGCGTCCTCCAAGCGCTCCAACAGTCGGCCTGGAAGAAGCTTCACCAAGACGCCCTGTAACAAGGAGGCTGCCTCGTTGCGAGTCCAAAAAAGATCAACAAAAATGGGCACCGCGGTACCCCTAAATGGCATTTAATGGGAATCTATATGGATTATATGAGATATTGATGGGATTTAATAATATTTAACTATATCTATATGGGATATGTAGTGATCATTAGCGATCAATAGTGATCAATAGTGCTTACTGTAGTAAGGAGACTATAATGATTCATAATGATCCATGTAATGATCTATAACCATTGAATAATGGGTAATAATGTTTGAAAATGGATTACTCATAAGAATGAGTACCCCGGATTTACAATAATAATACACAATCTTAGTAGCTCCAGCACGCAGCACGCGCAACGTACCGTTGCAACACGCTGTTTCGCAACGCAAGGGCTTTTGGTATGATCAACACACATATGGATGCATTTACTTGAAGATTAAAAAAGCATCCGCTAAGGTTCCAGGCTTTGGGGGAGCCCAAAAATATATATGTTGCCGGATGCTTTTTTCACGGTCAAGTAAATGCATTTGTCGCAACACAAGGGATTTTGGTATGGTCGACACATATGGAGGGCTTGTGCCTTGTCCTCAGACAAGGCCTCCTCTCCCACCATGCTTGAGACTCTAAAGAACCTGCAGAATCAATTTCCATCCTAAGACCTTTCCCCGAGTGGAAGCTCAGCTTTCCTACAAACATACTTGTTGCTGCCACATATCTAGGGTTTTTACTTTATCCAAAGTCCTTAAAGGGCTTACTTGATCTTAGCTAATATGCCAATGCATTTTTGATTCACCAAAAAAAGCATCGACATGCCTCTCACTCAAAAAAAACCAATGACGTATTTCTGTCCATGAAAAATGCATGGGCATAAGTTGCAGCACGTAAGTTGCAGCACGTGAGGTGCTCGCAACGCGAGTGCCCGAGCAACTAAGTACACGATATATATATATATACATATTCAGGCTGGGTCTATGATGCTGTGAAGGGTACTCGAGTCGTATACATATTATATATTATCATTATGATATAAATATATATATATATTATTTATTATATAATATATGTATACATTTGAAAATGGGATAGTTGGACACCTCCTGCACTGGTATACTTCTGAAATAATGCTGCTTAGGTTTGGCCAATCATGGCGCATTTTTCCAAAACAGCGATGTTGATGGCAGAACCCCCAGAGCGAAAATCCTGTCTGTTGAGAGGATTTCATGGACTGTATTACAGTAATGCCCGCGAAATCGAAACGTGATTTATCTCTATTCTAAATTTAAATTCGATGTTTCTCTATATATTGGTTGGGGACTTACTATAGATGTTCAATCGATTTTGAGGCAAAGCTGACACCGAACTGAGTGCCCAAGGCTTTCTTCAGCACAGGCAGCGAGCTGGACTTGGCCGGTTCGTTGTCCTTCCAGCGAAAGTTCGATGGTCCAAAAACAGATGGATTCATGGGCGAAAGAGACTGGAGATATTTAGTGGATATGGGTATGTCTGAAAATGGGGTATACCCCCAATTATAGCCATTTAGTAGGGATAATGATCATTAACCATTGGGTGTAGGGGTACACTATTTTCAGACAAACCCATATTTCATCTTCATGTTTCAGATTAATTAGGGGATAGAATCCATGAATTGCTATCCATGGAATATCCCCAATCATGGATGAATAAAGAAACAGATGGTTCTCAAGATGAATCATATCACCTGTGGATGATCTCTGGAAGAATCAGTTGTTTCAATCACAAATATAAGTAAGGATAAATCAGGCCACATGCGGATGATTCCCTGCATTGCCATATTTTACAGGATTGGGAAAAAAAATATTCCGCAAATCCAGGACTTTGGTTGAATGGTTAACTCTTACACTTGCAAGACCCCAATCAATTTGACGGTCTCAAAACACCATGGCTTCCACTTTAAGTGTCCCAACAAAACCAATCCATGTCAACCCCATCATTTTCGATGAAATCCCAGTTCTTTTTGAGGAATCCATGGAGCCTCCAAAGTCTGCCGTTGGTGGAAGGCCCAAAGGGACATGACCTGCGCTGAGGCTGACTTTGTCTCTGAAAATCATTGGGAAAAACTGGGATTCCCTTGGGTAAACTAAGCAAAAAACATAGGGATACCCTTTGGTAAATGGTGAAATGTTCGGTTTTTTTTTCCAGGATTTTAGGGAAATGTTGGTCGATGTGAACAAACTAAGATGTGGAACATTCAGGGATACCCTTGGGTAAATGTTAACATCGATGTGGAGTTTAGCCACCATGAATGTAGATCACTTTCCGAACGGGTGGAAAACCCATGGGTTTTCCACATCCATGTAAACGTCAAAACCCTAGGGGATCCCATCGGCAAATGTCGATATTTGGACAAAGGTCCATTGTTGGACAAAGCACTGGGGAAAAAACACTTAGAAGATCCACCACTCACACTACACTTGGATGGTTGGTTGAGCCATCCACTTGAAAAAAAAAAGTAAAAAGAGTTGGAAAGTCATTGGAGCCAAGCATAATTACATATAATTACCCATTTCTGGACATTAAAACATCTTTGAAACCATCATTGCTGGTGATTATCGTGATTCTGGGATCCCAACACTGGTGAAACACCTTGAAATGGCAAGAAACAAATCCATCTCTACCATCTCGAACAACTGGAAAGAAAAGAAAGTTATGAAGTTTATGAAGATAAAGCTGGCTTTTTAGGTCATATGAGTCATATCTGAGATTGAGACATGGTAAGATTCCCCGCAATCTCCCACGTCCAATTCGGGGCTGATTCCCCAGCAAAAGATGCTATAGAATGCTGCAGTTGGCTCCTAGCAATATATCTGGGTCAATTACAATAATTCACAAAGCTGAAATGTTGGGCTGATATTGGGAGAATTCCCCGAATCCGAACCATCCTCATAACTTAATTACCCAGATTATAAGTCATCCTACTTGTTGGTTATATTATAACTATATGTATAGTTGTATATACCATGATTGTTTATATCCCCATCATATCCCCATCATATCCCCATTCTCATCCTTTCAAAAAAATGCTGCATTCGCTGGCAACTCCGCACCGCACCTTACTGATGACGTCAAAGTCCGCCTCCAAACGACGGAAGGTGCCCCTCCTTCCACGCGAGGCACATGAGGCGAGGTGGTTGAGATATGGCAGTGGCTGAATTAACTATGGTTTAATGATGTTTATGGTAGATATCTATGGTTTATGGTAGATAGATATATATATATAACAAACTAGTATACTATAGAATTCTATGATTTATGGTAGATATACTTAGATTTAACTATAGTTAATGGGGTGGTTTTGAACCAACTTATAACTGGTTGGCACCATCCTGTAAGGTAATTCATCATTTTTGATGCCATGTTCCACATCTATGTTGGTTTACCCTAACCGTTTGGGGGTAGATACCACCGATGTGAAACTCGGGGATGTCTATTATTGGATTTGCCCTTCAGTGAACTAACCCTGCTATGGAAAATCACCACGTTTAATAGGGATTTATCGTCGAAGTCAATGGGCCATCGCGAACTACCATAGCAAACTGTTGGTCTACCAAAGGATACTAGGTGTGACAGTTTCCTCACGGAGAATTCCTAAAAATGTTCCTATCAAGAAGATATCTATCAAACACATGGATGTTTTCCATTCATGTATATAACATTATATAACAACAAAAAGTAATCTATTGCACATAGAAACATAATAATATCACATAACAGTAATAGTATTTTTTCCAAAGTTAAGTGAATTTCCGAAGTCACACCACAAAAAGTAATCATTGTTGCGCCTCTGTAGCTCGAGGCTTTGGAGCTCGTCCAGCACCTTTGACAAACATGGGCCCATGGGGCTTTATGATCATGGACAACTGGGAAAACACTTACTGGTGCTTAGCAGGGAATGAGGGAATGATCCACAATCACTAGTAATAATCATCCCAGCACCCCCCAGCAACCCATCCATTCCCTACGTTTAGCACCAGTAAGAACATGGTGATTGAACCATGAAAAATCTGGATTGATAGGTGACTTATCTGAGTGGACTTAGTTCACCGGTGAGTCTCATGGGTAATGGATGGTAATGGTAGATATAACTATAGTGTTCATGGGGTTTATAAACCAACTGATGGCTACACGGGGCCACCTTGCATATAGGATATCATGCCAAGAATGCCGTGTCATAATTATACCCTCTGGTACTTTAACAGTTTGCTATTGAAAATTGCCATTTATAGTTGATTTACCCATTTAAAATGGTGATTTTTGATAGTTATGTTAGTTTACCAGAGGGTAATGTCTGGAACATACTGGAAAATAATACTGGCATGGTCCCATGTGTGTACATCCGTGCAAAAATCTGCCACTAAACACCATGGTTTATTAAGGTGGTTAATGTGAATGGGAGATGGGATCAACTTGTCAAATAGGCTCAAGTTATGTCGGATTCATGGTTATGGTTATGGTCATCCGTCCCATTACATGGGAATCCAAACATCAGATATAAATCCCCATGAAAATGGATTGATAACCATCCAACTCTTGACCCTAGAATGTCATGATATGTCATATAATTAATATTGAACAAATATAGTAATATGTCAGTACACAGTGGAATCTTACTTGGAATTAACACTATATCATGAAATATGTCTTGGAAACTTGAATTGGAATATATTGAAATCAGATTGTCATTCATTACAGTGGTGGCCCTTAACAGTTATAACTGGCTAACTTACCCCATTCAAGTGATATGCTTCACCTTGCAGGAGTTATTTCATCCCGTGGCCATCACTGTTCAGGACCATAAGGAGTTATAATCCTATTTATGCTCAGGAGTTATAATAGTTATGATACTACTATTTATAATTTGGACTACAATCCTATTCATGAGGACCATAAATAAGAGTTATAAAGAATCCCATGTATAAAAATCCTATTCTTGGGGAGGTCCTCCAGCAACAACCCACCCAGACGTCACGCAACAGAGCACCTCAATGCAAACGAAGCTATCTCCGACAAAGGCATCGCTCAACGCCCAGGAACAGAGTTCCAGGTTTCCGCAGAACCTGAAGCGATAGCAGTGGTGGTTGGATGTTTTTTGACCTGTTCAAAACAAGGATCCAATTTATTGGAGGTACTTACCAATATATGAGGCCTAAGGGCTATCTAAGGGAATATCCCCAGAAAATAGTGGTAAATATACGTTAATACTGGATTAATAATGGTTAATAAAGGTCAGTAATGGTTATATAATGGCATTTAGTACCCTCCTGTGTTATCAACGTGGCTAGATAGAAAATATCCAACCAAGATGGAGGTTTGAATGATCAAATCATCTATCAATGCGGGATTTTCCATTGCCAAGAAAATGCAAACAATGGGATGGTGTCCATCGGGATAAGATGCTCAATACCATTGAATAACACCGAGCCATCCATAGATAAGTCCACAAGCCAACTAGTTCATGGCAATACTACACAAACATCCGTAAATATCAATAAACCAACTGACCAGCCCTAAGCCCATCCAACACAAGAAAGTTGCCCGACCGAAACATGTCAGGTGCAGGTCAGGCACATCTCTAATTAGTAACTATAGAGCCTTGCTGAAGAAATCCATCGAATTTCGCTCCCAAATTCCAATTTTGAGATGGGGGTATGGGTCAATACCTATGAAAATACCATTTTTAGTGGGATGAACATCCATAAATCCCAGCTATTTTGATGTGAACTACAGGGGTACTATTGGTTTTGACACACTGCCATGGGACACTACCTGCGGGGCCCATTTTTTCCTGGGTCCTGTCACACACTGCGAATGGCACTCTGAACGGCCTGCACGCCGCGATGGAATCCAAACCCGGCTGGTCGTTTCATTCTATTGGTTGGTTACCCTCTGGTTATGTCAAAATAGCCATTGAAAATGGCCATTTACAGTGGATTTACCCATGAAAAATGGTGATTTTCCATAGCTATGTTAAATTACCAGAGGGTAATTCATGTTAATTCGTACAGATTCCCACAATGCAGGGTGAAGTCTGTCCCAACGAATCATCATCAACCATGATTCATCAGTTCTACTTACATCCCCATAGTTTGAGTTAAAATCTGTGTCATAATCCCTAATATATATCCTAATATCACTAATATCATTATTGTTTTTATGATAGTGAATAATATATCCCTAATATCCCTAATATAATATCATTATTTTTTTTATCAT